CTTGTGTTTAACAATTTGTTAAGTTTGGTGACCATCAATCATCATAATAAAAATTAAAGGATGAATAACTCAGAGATGGAAATAAGGTGCATCACTCAAGACATTATATTGCAATGTGGTATTAACTTTGATAGGTCCCAATTATAACACAATCAAATGTTGATCAACACCGTAAGAACAAGAAGACAAAAAACTTTTTTGGCTTTTCAATTTATATAGAAGCAAGTTGGAATTATATGCTCCTACAAATAAGGAAGCGAAAATGCATACATCATACATGGAATTGGTCCTATAAAGTGGGAAACATAACAAGACTTGAGGAAGAAGAAAGCCATGTTTTGGCAAAGACTCTAGTTTACAGAGAGACTATTCCTCTCTCTTTTTTTAAATGTTTTTGCTTTGTCTTATTTCTTAGAAGGTTTGTAATTCAGAATTATTCAGATTTGGATTAGAAAAACTTCATTTTTTTCAAAATCAAATCGTTTTATTATGAATCTACTTTGGTCTTGAAATCTATCAGTCTCTTATTTTAAAGTTTGGTACTTTTTTTCTCTGGCAATGGAAGGAGCTTTTCGGCGTTATTATGTCCGTCTTCTTCAATCTTGCTGCAGCAACAGAAATCGAGAAACTTTATGGCGACAAGTCCATGGATTGTTCGTGAAGAAGGGTTTTATTAGTTCCATTGTCATTGTAGCTAACCATCTTCTACAAATATACTCGAGGTGTGGCGGAATGGAAGTTGCGCGGAAGTTGTTCGACGAAATGCCTGAGAGAAATTATTTCTCGTGGAACACTATGATTGAAGGATACATGAATTCTGGGGATAAATGTACTTCTTTGAAGCTGTTTGATATGATGCCAGAAAGGGATGTGTACTCTTGGAACGTGGTTGTTTCCGGGTTTGCGAAATCGGGTGAGCTAGGTGTTGCCAGGAAGTTATTCGATGCCATGCCGGAAAAAGATGTTGTGACGTTGAACTCTCTGCTTCATAGATATAGTGTAAATGGTTATGCTGAGGAAGCTCTGAGATTGTTTAAAGATTTGAAATTTAGCGTTGATGTGATAACAATGACGACACTTCTCGGGGCTTGTGCCAAGTTGGAAGCTTTGAATTGTGGGAGGCAAATACATGCTCGGATTCTGATCGGCGGTGTTGAATATGACTCGGAAATGAATAGTTCTTTAGTTAATTTGTATGCAAAGTGCGGTGATTTGAGAATGGCAAGCAATATGCTAGTTCAGATTGGAGAACCTGATGACCATTCTCTCTCTGCCTTGATTTCAGGTTATGCAAGTTGTGGGAAAGTTAACGAGTCTAGAAGACTTTTCGATAGGAAAAGTAACAGATGCGTCATTCTATGGAACTCTATGATTTCGGGTTATGTTGCCAACAGTATGGAAATGGAGGCACTGGTTCTTTTCAAAGAGATGAAGAATGAAGCTCGGGAAGATTTCCGTACGATGGCATCTGTTATAACTGCTTGCAGCAGTTTGGGCCTCGTGGAAACTGGTAAACAAATGCACGGTCGTGCTTTTAAATATGGGTTGATTGACGACATTGTTGTAGCTAGCACATTGCTTGACATGTACACCATGTGTGGAATCCCGGTGGAAGCTTGCAAGCTTTTCGGTGAGGTCAAAACCTATGATACGATCTTACTGAACTGTATGATCAAAGTATATTTCAGCTGCGGAAGAGTTGAAGATGCGAAACGGGTATTTGAGAGAATTGAAAACAAGAGCTTGATTTCTTGGAACTCAATGACAGTAGGATTCAGTCAAAATGGTTGTCCAGTTGAAACTCTAGAGTATTTCCGCCAAATGCACAAGCTGGATTTGCCGACAGATAAGTTTAGCCTCTCTAGCGTAATTAGCGCATGTGCAAGCATTTCTTCTCTCGAACTCGGTGAGCAGGTATTTGCGAGGGCAACAATTATTGGCCTTGAATCTGATCAAATAGTATCATCCTCTCTCATTGATCTCTACTGCAAGTGTGGATCCGTCGACCATGGCAGGAGTGTATTCGACACATTGGTAAAATCAGATGAAATACCATGGAACTCAATGATATCAGGTTATGCTACGAATGGCCATGGCTTTGAAGCGATTGATTTGTTTAAGAAAATGAGCATTACTGGCATAAGACCAACCCGGATCACCTTTATGGGTGTTCTAGTAGCGTGCAATTACGCTGGCTTAGTGGAAGAGGGAAGGAAATTGTTTGAGGAAATGAAGTCGGTATATGGTTTTGTTCCAGATAAAGAGCATTTTTCATGTATGGTCGACCTTTTGGCTCGCGCTGGTTATTTGGAAGAAGCCGTAGATCTTGTTGAAGAGATGCCTTTTGATGCGGATGCAAGCATGTGGTCATCTGTTCTAAGAGGATGTGTAGCAAATGGATATAAAGCAATGGGGAAGAAAGTTGCTGAGAAGATTATAGAGCTCGAACCCGAGAACTCGGTTGCTTATGTTCAGTTATCCGCCATATTCGCAACCTCTGGAGATTGGGAAAACTCGGCGCTTGTAAGAAAACTGATGAGAGAAAAGCATGTAATGAAGAAACCAGGTTCTAGTTGGGCTGATTGTTAAGAGTACTTGATTTGTTTGTGTTCATAAACATCAATATAAGAAAAATTACAACAATCTTGTAATGATTACAAACAGTGGATCTTCCCCTTTCTTTTGTACTTAGTTTAACAATTTTGTTAAAGTTTTGATCCATCAATTATCATCATTCATCATTACAAATATATAAAAGTATAAAGAATTAACAACTTAGTGGCTGCATCACATTTACATGTGAAGCCATCAACTTGCAATGTGAATGTGTGTGGCTTTTTTTTTTATCATTTGCCTTTGTATACAATTTCATCATCGTCTACATCAAATGCTGGATTACAGAGACATCTGAAGAGTCTACCAATCCCCTGTAAAAATTTACCAATCAAGACTCATAAAATCTCAGTTTTGTCTATTACTAAAAATAGCTTGAAAAGTGAGAATTTTTTACCTGAGTGAGCAGAGGAGTTCTGTATGAAAGCCGTTGCGAAGAATCGTCATCGCTGCTACTGTCATCGTCGTCATCACTGTCTTCTTCTTCTCTTCTTGATGTTGCGCCGTTCCTCGATTGCTTTTCTTGCTGCACAAGCCAACATCAATCTTGAATCAGGACAAGAAGCAAAAGCAGATTGTTAATGTGATATGTTCTTGAAAAAACCTGGAAAATCTTTCCAAGAATCTTGAGAGCCATTGCTCGAGATTTAAGCTCTTCCTTTCTTAAGTTGTTTTCGTGCAATACCTAAACCGATTTTTCCAAGATTCATCACATCTTATGTCTTGAGAATTCAGCAAAACTATAAGCAACAAAGAACTTACCATTTGACACACATGTAACAGAGTAACTTCAATGTCAACCACATTGAGTTTCCACAAAGATCCCATGAGTGTTTCTTTGTTAGTCTGAATATGAGACTCCAAGTCATTTGCTGGACCATTACCGTCTTTCTTGATTCTTCGGTTACTCTCTTCTTGAAGCTGAAGTAACTGAAATGCTCCTTTAGCTGCACTAATCTGTGATTTCCAAGAATGTCCTTTGTTCCTAACCCATTCAGCTACAAATGGAACTCCTAAGTAAAGAGCTCTCTTCCCAAGTTCTTGAGCTGCTTGTCTTGTGTAAACATATCCAATTGTACGCAACATATCCGCTCCAAAAGCTATTGACAAATAAGAAATTCGATTCAAAACTACAAAGAAATGTTTTCATAATCAACTAATGAAATGAAATATAGGAAAGAAGTAGACAAATGCCTGCTTCAGATAGCCTCTTGGCTTCGGTTTCTGCGCGGCGTATGAATCCTTCTTTGTCTCCATGGACATATTGGCTTAGAAAATCTTTGAGAAACCGCGCGAGGTTTTCTTCTCTTTCTCTCTGAACAGCCTACAATAAACACACAAAAATTAAGGATCATTTCTTTATGTTAGATCCAAATCAGAAGACTGTTATAATACTATATGGTTTTGATATTTGCCTTTAATTTGTCATGAATCTGATCAGAGTTTTCGATATCAGAAGCTATTTGAGTGGAAGCCATTGATGCAACAGCTAAGTGACCGATATAATCCTCGAATAGTTCACTTCCGAATAGAAGCGCGAAAACAGCCGTTGGATCAACCATTGTTTCTCTGATCAATCAAACCATTAAAAACATTCTCAGATAAAGAAGACAGAAACACACATAATCTTTTACTCAAAAGTAGATACAAAAAAACATTACTTGGAAGCTGAGAATTTTCCAGTCTTATCATACGCTTCACGATGAACAGGATCACTCAAAACCTGATAAGCTTCACCAAGAACCTAACCCAAGGAAGGAAGAACGGTCTTGATTTGATCAGAATGATCAACATAAAAAACAAAAAACAAGAAAATGGAACTGACATTAAAAAGAAACATGCCTGAAACTTTTCAGCAGCAAGAGGATCACCTTGATTCTTATCAGGATGAACTTGTCTTGCCTAAAGATTTTCAAGAATCAGTAAAGAAAACTCACTAGATCTATGAAACTTCCAAGAGATTTTAAAAAAGACAAACCTTGATGTAATAAGCCTTACGAATCTCTTCCTCAGAAGCAGAAGGAGTGACACCAAGAACATCATAGTACACTGTTTCCTTCACCATGGTCAGATCAAAGGAAGATAATTCTTTTTGTATAGATAAGAAAAAAAGAAAGGTTGGTTTGGTCTGACTGTGAAAAGCTTTTAGGAGATGTGTGTGGGGAAGAAGAAGAAGTTGACACAAAGAGAAGTTGTGATCTGCTTGAAGAAGCAGAAAAAGAGATAGCTTTACAGTTATGCAGAGTTTTTAATAAAACTAATTGCACTTTCACTATCTTCTTTTTAACTGTCACACTTAGTGCTTTTTATCATTCATTTCTCATGCCTACTTT